ATTATTAATGAACTGCACAGGAGACACACAGACCTGCTTTATTGGGCGAACTGTAAATGAGCCTATTTGGTAAGAACATGCAATATGTGTGTGTGTGGTGAGAGAGGGTATTTTGAGAATTTAACTAATTTCTGAATAGTAAAGGCATCCAGTCTGGCTATAATTGGTGCCTGTGGCAATTGTTGGTACCCTGACTACATTAGCTTTCTGTGCCCTTTAGCAGAATTGGGAAAACATTTCTAGTACTCGTTAAGCTGTCTATTATCAAGCCTTCATAAATATACACATTTAGAATAGAGATGATTTGCTATCCCAGTGCCTTAGAGCGCTTAAATAAATTAGTTCCTACTATTTCAGGCATTAATTTTGCAGTAATTATGCATGAAGCAATAATGCAATTAAAATTGCCTTCCAACTTGCTCGAGTGGGAATATTTTTTGAAAATAATACTTGATCTTTTCTCAAAATACACTCTAGAGCAGGTGGATGTGCTGTGTAGCTCAAAACAGCAGCGTGGGACTGTTCTACCTTGAGATCCTCAGTTTGCCTGCAGCTGAAGTCAATATTAACCAAGTATTACCATCTGTTGGCTTTTGCTGACCTCTGGTTTATTCCCCTCTCCCCTTTCTCTAGTGGCAAAGTGCCCACATCACAGCTGGCATCAAGTGCTTCAGCAGTGGGGTTTCTTATTTAAAGAATGCATCCACACTTCAGGGCACGAACCATGGGCTAGCTTTCAGTTTGTAACGTTCCAGTTTCTTTTTGCATGGTACCCACTGGTTTCAATATTGCAAGATATTCTTTGCAGTATCTGCTATAATAAAGCACAGCAATGTATCAGCCCAGATTTCAGCCTTAGGTCTGAATCTCTTTACATTTAAATTGGACCTTTTGTTTCTTGGAAGAAAAGTATATATTTTGTAGCTGAGTTACAAATAAGCTTTTCCAGCTTTTTGGCAGCTAGGTAATAGTTAAAGTGAAAAGATTTCTTCTTTCCAGCCAGAAAAGAGGTTTAATAACTGTGGGTCCATTTGTTCATAGCAGTACTGGAGCTGAGCCCTGCAAACCCCTGGAGCTTGGCAAGCCAGGCAGACTTGGCAAGTTTTCCTACCAGCTTACTAAGTCTGAGTCAAGCATGGCTTGTTGCAACTTCAAATATATTTAGTACATTTTGTTAACAAGAACATTAAGGTGGAGGGTTTGGGTTTTTTTTCCTTTGCTGACCTTAAGGTATACCATGCTCTCTGTACAAACAGCTGGTCCTTAAACCGTGCGTGGCAGTTCATGGCTTGTGTTAAATTCAAAATAAATGTGTACTGTATGCAGAGTATCTGATTTACTCTTGACATGAAGATATTGAGGAGGTATGAGACAGTATCCCACAGTCTTTCTGTCAGTTGACCTTTGGTAGTGTGAATCTGTGGAAAAAACAAGCATAGCTGTTACTTTTCAGTGCATCATAACAGCGATAACTTTTGCCCTCTGTTTGGAGCCTGTGGTGCATGAAGAGTTGTGTAAGTGCTGGAAATGCTCTCACTTCTAATTTTTACCTGTGTGGGTACTGCTGAAAGAAAAAGAGCTCAAACTGGACTTTTGAATTGGCTGGACACTGAACTTTCTAAATGTTATTCTTACCTATCCAAAATATGTCAGCCTTTGAAATAGGGAGAAAACTTTTCTGTAGAAGAAAATTCTTTCAATGTTGAAAAATGCTGCAGAAGACTCAAGATAGTGACACTACCTATTTATTCCAGTCACATACAACCATCTCAGTATTCTCCTATATTAATTCATTCATCTCAATGTGGTGTTAGCAGGGTCTTCGGTGAATTCTGCACCATGCGGTTGAGGATGGGCAGTACATCTTGAGAAGAAAGAATTGGTCTGTTGAGTGGGTGTTTTTCACTTTGACAGTCTGGCTGCTGTTTTGTAAGGCATCCTAACAGCTCTGCTCTTCCCCAGTTTTATTCTGTCATCATTAAAATGTGAATCTAAGAATCCAAAATGTTAGATTTGCCTGGTTTAGGGCTTGTCTTCTAGCCATGGGCTAACTACAGCAAGTCTGGCTGCTTTGTTTTACCCTCCTGGTGGATAATCAGCTATGTCTGTTGCTGGAGGACTGGTTGTGGGAAGCTATGGTTTCAGAAAGCAGTTGTTTCCTAAGCAGCACGAGCCAATGCTATAAAAGGCCTCATCATTTGCTACCAAACCTTTGAAGTTTGCTTTGCACAGTGGGATCTAGAAAACTCAGCAGAGCGCAGTCAGGTTGCCAACTAAGCCAGACAGGCTTCTGATTTGTGAGCTATTTATTGTTTCTAGAATTGCTGTCCTCATTCATCATTGCAATTAATTGCAACAAGACTAGATGAAGGAGATGATAAATGCTTATGTCATTATTGCTAAATATCTGGGTGCGTGCTTTTTTGAAGCTTGGATTCTTCCTAGAAGAAACCCTTGAGTTCCTAACTTGAACACCCCAAATAAATTGTGGTTTGTTTTTGGGACCCGAGGCTTTGTACCAAAGAGGTTTCATATGTTTCTTTTTGAAGGACTGGTATGTAGAACTGGCTGGAACGCTGCAAAGGTGAGAATGTGACTGGCCAGTGTGCTGCTTTGGGCCATTAATTGTGTCCTTAGAGTGAGATTTAGAGAGTATTCCTTCAAGGTATCAATGCAATAGAACTGGTGATAAAAAGTTGGGATTTAGTGTGTGTCTTTTGTCCTTTTTCTGGACAGAGCTGGTGAGGTGAATGCTTAAAGGCTCTTTTAATTGAATCCATGTTTAGCAATGGGAAAGAAAGAGGCACTTTTCTTAGGAAACCTAAGAAATATTTTGCAGTTTATACTAGGATGGTGCATTGCAGCTAAATGGTAAAGGAATGAAGCTGTTAGCCCTTAAGGAAGCTTACAAGGGCACTTGCCAATGACAAGCTGCAAAAAGGGCAGCAGGTAGTGAAAAGTGCAAACTTCAGGGTAATATAGTGAGAAATAAATAGAAACTTGCTACTCAAAAGAGCAGCTGACCGTTTAAAAAATTACAGGAAGTAATTTTAAATAGATGACCAGCTGTGCAAAGCATAGCTATAAACAGATGAGTTGGAATCAGTGTCATTGTTTCCTACTTGAACAAAGAGAGTTCATTAGAACTGATGATTAATTTCAAACAAGAATGGTGATATAATAGCTGTAAGAAGTAGAGAAATAAGAGTTCAACTAACCTGGTTTCTGGTTTGTGAACAGTGGTAGTTCTCTGGCAGACTCATCTGGTTTCCAGCTTTCCTTCTGTGTTTTTTTTTTTTCATATTGCCTTTTGCATCCACAACATCATCTGGGAGACATTTCCATAGGCCAGGCATGTACTGTGTGAAAAAGTTTCACTTTTTCCTTTTGTGTAGCATATGAATCTCATGTCTTGCAGCAGCAGCTATTTGAACAGCTATTTGTTATTCTTCCCAATCTTGTGAATACTTTAATATTCCATGAAGTTGCCTCTGTCCAATGTTGGAGTCCCGGTCTGTTTAGATATTACATCTATGAAAACAGTGATACTTCTTGATACAGTCTCATTTTTCTCTTGAATTTGTTGGGGGGTTTTTGGGGAGTGTTTTTTGTTTGTTTGTTGTTTGGTTTTTTTTTTCTCCCTGATTATTCTGTATCCATTTTGGATGGGAGCAGGGAAGAGATCAGATGATGTACGGTAACTACTTGTTATCTGAGGTGTTCTGCTAATACTGCACGAGTGCACAGAATAAATGATGTTGGTAGGAGAGTGCTGCCCAATGTCTGACAAAATGGTTTCAGAAAAGATATCTGGCAGTAAGTGCCATGGGCTCTCAGGGAGAGGGAAAGAAATGGGCATGGTTTTCACTTGGCTGGTCTGCAATACATAGTGCTTCCAGTGCAATGTGGACTTGTAAAGTAAATGCAACACAAAATATGTTGAAAGAGGGTGGTTAGAGGGTGTGTTCTCACCTGCAATATTGAACTAATTTTGAACAAAGTAGTATGGTGTATTGTGGATTTTGAAAGGGACTGTAGCCAGGAATTCTCAGAAATCTTTTGTTATCTAATAAGTGTAATTTCACATGCAAACTGTTTCAGGATGCCCTTAAATTGCTATTGTTCTTTACATTGTTTCCTAAGCTTCTTTCAGTGTCCACTAAGAAACTTTGTTCCATCCCAGTACAGCAGTTCCTGCTTTAAAAAGGTGGTTAAGCAAGATGAATAGGCTCAGAAAAGCTGCATCCACAGAAGTGCTGAAAAGAGTTTACCTGTGCAGTGAAGCTTAAAGCTGTTTCCTGGGACTGTGTCATTACAGAACCCCCCCAAATTGGAAGGCAATTTGGAGTCCATCTAGTCCAATCTTCTGTTTAAAGTAGGAATATTAAATGCAAACCAAGTTGCTCAGGGCTTGCCCAGTTTCATTTGTAAACTTGTTAAAGGATGAAAACTCTGCAGCCTGTTTTGCAACCTATTCCAATTTTAGTTGTTAAATAGGTAGTTTATTAAATAATAATGTTTGCATCATTTAGATAATAAAAGATCATGTTAACTGACAAATAGATATCATTGTAAGGTCTGGGACTGTAAAAATGCAACACAAGTTAGGCAGAATACCCATCAAATCACAGTTATCTTGAAAATTCAGTTCTTTACCAAACCTGATGGAAAAGAGATTGGCTTCTGGCTTCAAGCATGTTAATTTGCTAGCGATAAGGATTTTGTAATGGTTTGATGCCATCTGTTTTTTTAGAGCAATGATGTAAATACAGCAAATTGCTCCATAGCCTGAATATTTTGTTTTAAACAAGGAGTACTCTGCCCGTATTTAAAATGTAGGACTTGAAAACTGCCTGGAACTGCTGATAATTATTTTTAGAGCATGACAGGCATCTGTCTCCAGATGGTGGTCTGTATTCCACATCCTTCTCCTCTGCTGTTAATGGAAGCATGTACTTCAGGAGTAATCTAAAGCTTTTTGTAACTTGTCTCTTTTTCAGCTTTGGTTTGCTTTCGTTAATGGATTTTCTGGGCAAATCTTATTTGAGCGATGGTGCATCGGTCTGTATAACGTGGTAAGTGCTACATGTTTTGACTTGATAGTGCTTGGGACTACTGTGTTATTTTGTTGTGTCCCATTTTTCACAGGTAACTGTCCTAGATGTATGTCAGGAAAGGTGAGTTCATTTTCAAAAACCATTCTGAATCCACCCTGAGGCAGAAAAAAAATAAAAAATTACACTTTTATTGCAAAATGGAGATTTGGGAGAACACCTTGAAAATAGATGTTTAGCCTACTATAACCTGCGTAAAACTGCAGATTTTAGATAGAATTTAATTTCCTCTTTGAAAGCATTTTCACTGTTTTGTACTGAATATTTTGGTGAGAGTCAAAATACTCCTAATCTCTGAGTTTTGATGAATTTTTTTCTTTCAGGAAAAAAAAAAGAGTTAGATGCTGAGCAATATTAAGCAGCTGCTTTGGGTTGAATCATGCTCCATTAGGTACAGAAAGAGAAGCTGCATCACTGTGTCATCAACATTTTGCACTTGAAACAAGAGCAGGATGTGTCAGTCTGGGAGTGGTTTCTGATTTTCAATGTGGCCTACAGGGTGCCACACTGTGTCATATGACTTTATTACTTTAATCAGTAGTATTATTCTAATCACATAGATTAAAGTCTGAAGGATCTCTGGAACCAAGTTCTGCAGCATACCATAGACTTCTGTTAGTTTTTTCAACAGTGTTACCTTTGTAATGGTACGAGTGGCCCAGTGTCTGGATTTATAAACTGCTAGGACACTGTTAAAGAGTCTCTTTGCAGGGAGGGAATTTAATTTTTTTCTTTAAAAAAAATCATTCCAAATATATGCTAATACAGGAAAAGCCAGCAAATTGTCACTGAGTAGTATTAATGGAACCACTTAACTTCTGTCACATTAATTTTAAAAATGATGGCACAAACCCCCATATTCCATAAGATTTCATACTCTTAGTTGAAGATACTTATTCAAGGATTTATCATTCCCTTGATTCCCTTCACCCTAATTTCCTGACTGTTATGCAGTCTCTGTCATTCATGTTTAGATATTTGCATCTATTATCTTTAAACCTTACTTGATGAATCTATCTACCCTACCTAAAGCTTCTGGATAAAACTCATCTTTTGCAATCAGAAGCTAAACCTTGTTTTTAAGGTCAGTATTTTCTAAAATTAGAACTGGTTGTGTAGACTCATAGAGAATCAAGTGCTGGTAGGATATTGGGGACTGCCACAATTTGTAGGGCTTAGTTTTTGAAGTGCTTTTAGCTGAGTCATTCTCTTCTGTGCAGATTAACCCTTTCTGTCATTAGTAGTCACATTAAAATATGATGTGTATGGAATCATAGTGGCGTTGTAATTCCTGATTTTGCACTGGTTCACTCTGGAGGTTTTCCTTTGTCATCAAACCCACTAGAAGATTTACTTCAAGTGAGAATGTAAATGCCCCAATAAACACAAGAAACCTGGGGAAGTACATTGAAGATGTATGAGAACATGGTCTTCTTTGGAATATATTGGACCAGTGCTCTCAGTTCTCTACCCTCAGCCTGTGCCATTTTAGCCATCTGATTTGTCACTTCATGAATGAAGACACACAATTCCCACTGGACTGAGGGTTGTAATTACTGATTCTTGCTCGTCTCCATTCCTCCCCACTGTTCTTTGTTTGCTCCTTGGCTGCCAGCGTGCTGCTGCTGGGAATCACAGCCTGCCTTCTGCAAATGTGCACACTCCCTAGAAACAGTTCATAACTCCAACCTGCCTCTTGACTTCAAGAACACTTCTCAAACTGTTAAAAATATATGTATGTATAGGATTAAAAGTGATATTTCTGATGTAAACTGCTGATGTAAAAGGAAGTGAATGAAGTTTAGACTTGCACCATGCTGTTACTTTCACTCTGTGCCTGCACTGTAGACCATAAGAAACATGGATACTCAAGCTGGCTTTAAATGAGCTGCCTCAGATCCTGGAAACACTTTAAGAGCAGCAGTGTTAAAGTCAGTGGAGGCTAATTTACTCTGCTTCTGGCAGAGTGTCCCACTGCCTGTCTTGGAAGGCTTCCGAGGCTTGGTCATCCAAGCGTCTGCCCGTAGCGCAGACACACACTGCAGTTAATTTGTTCCTATCAGTTCATGCCTGCCAGGGGAATCCCCAAAGTACCATAATGCAGAATGGCCTTTGTTGCTCAGTAGATTTTTATTTTTAATGTGATTTCCACATTTACTCTGTCTGTAAACTTAGCAGTGGTTAAGCACGTTGCATATCTAATTAAGGCTGCAACTGCAACTATATTGGAACCTATTCCCACAAGGCTATTCTGTAATGTTGCCTTTCCTTTGCAGTCTGATATGTCTGACCCTTGCTGGATTAGCTGGTACATCAGAAACTAATGATGCTTAACTTCTTGGGTTTAAGCTTATTGGTTAATAATATGTATTTTCTTTCATGTTTCTTTTGTTCATAAGTCAATATTTGAGAGTTACAAATTGGTGAAAATAATGTTTGGACTTGTTTGGACCATTGAAAATTACGTCAAATAACATGCTAGGTAGTAGTAAGTCTTCACTGCAGTTTGCAGAAATTTTGCTTTTGTCTGGATAAAGAAACATTATATGAGATACACTTAAAACTAAGTGCTGCTTTCAATTAGTATTTGCTTTCCTTGCAGATTTTCACAGCACTGCCACCCTTTACTCTGGGAATTTTTGAACGATCATGTACTCAAGATAGCATGCTTAGATTTCCACAGCTATACAAAATCACTCAAAATGCAGATGGCTTCAACACAAGGGTAAGGAACTGTTACTCTAAGAAAAAAAACCATAAACATTCTTATATTCCAGATTTATCTTATCAGAAAATAACTTTTTCCCTGATGTTACTTCTTCTTTATGCTAACCACTGAGAGTGATTGTTCAGCCTTCCAGTTCCTTTAAAGAATTACATGATATTTAAATAAAAAACATCCTTGTTTATAAATAAGGATTTTCTGCTGTGACTTCACCTGAAACTGGTCCTGAAATATCCGTAAAGTTTGATTCAAAGTTAGATTCATATCCAAGCATGATTTTTCAATTCACAGCTATTGATAAGTCATGATGACATCACCTGGATTTATTTAACATATGTGTTGTGATAACAATTTCTGCTAGGGTGCTTTTTCATAATTAGTATAGCTCTGTTCCAATAGTTCTTTTGGAAAATAGAATATGAATTGGCTTATTGGGACTTCATTTTACTCCATTTTGCTATTTAAATGCTGGAAAATGCCGGCACTTGGGATTCTGTCTTTTCCATAATAAGCACATCTAAATGTATTTCTGTATGAAGGAAGCTGTATGATTGCTTTGTTTGGAGAGGAAATTGAAAAGTACATAAAGCTCTAATTTGTTAAAAATCTGCTAGTTAAAAACTGGGGGGTACAAATTATTTGTCCATTGAAAGAAAACAGAACATTTCATAATACTGAATCATTCTTTAAGAATTATTCTTTGAGGTAATTAAACAAAGTTGACTCAATCTGTCTGCCTTATTTCAATAAAGATCTTAAACTGAAGCATGCTTGCTTATTATGCTTCAAGTTAGTAGAATAAAATGATCGAACTGGACCAGTGTTTTCTTGTGAAAGAGCAGAAACTGTAGGAGAAAATAGATCCTGCAGAAGTTTAGGTATTTCACTTCAGGACAAACATTTTCTGACTCTAAACTACACAATGAAGTGTTTGTTGGGAGTTAGAGGTCAAGAGTTTTGGACTTTACTGATGGCTTGGTTTGTTTTCCCTCAGGTTTTCTGGGGTCACTGCATCAATGCCCTTATCCATTCCATCATTCTTTTCTGGTTTCCACTGAAAGTGCTGGAGCATGGTAAGGGCTTCGTTATTTCTTACGTCAGTAACTGATGTTCAGTCTTACAGAACCAGGCTGTTTGCAGAAGGGGGGGTTGTGACAAGTCCCAGGAAATAATGCTGCCAGACAGTTCAATAGTCTTTAGCTGCTGAGCTTGGCGGGTTGTCTAGTGGCTTTCAGAAATTATTCTAATGTAACATAATTATTGTTCAAATAGTGACTTTAATAGGTGAAAAATGAAACTACTGCTTTGCTAAGAAGCCTTACCCAAATACTGAGTGACGTTTCACAAAATGCCTTTTTTTTTTTATGGTAGTATGTTGAGCTCTCAACATTTGTTTGAATAATGTTCTTAGAGCAGCTGCCTTAGAACCGTTTTCTTGGTTCTAACCATAGAGTTCTTGGAGTACTCATTGTTCTTGGAGTACCCATTCCATAATGCAGTACGGTGGAAAAGAATTGGCTGGAATGGAAGTAAACCGGGTCAAGAGTCAGAGATGCTGGGGAAATGAGACTGTTTGGTGTACAAATTAGGGTTATTAAGTCTTGCTTTTCAGGGTAATGCAACTACATGGTATTTCAGGGACCAGTAAACCCCATATGGTTCCTACCTAGCTTTCCAGTATAGTTGTGTGGGTGGGATAAAACACAGGGAACATGTTGTTTGATTTGTGTAAGAAATAGGGTTAGATCAGATGAGGAATTTAGGGCTGGTGAAGAGAATATTTATCTAAAATCATAAATTTTTCAGAAGTGAAACTCTTTCCTGGAAAACACTAATTTTAAGAAAACCTTCTCAGCTCCAGAATGGATTAACTGGGGAGGAGGTGAAAGAAATAAAAAGGGAAGGAAGATGAATGCTCATGTCAGAGGCACGATAGTAAAGATACTTGTGGGGGTTAGGTTCATGTTTCTCTGCTTGGCTGACTAAAATGTCAGTATCATATCCTCAGTGGGAACTTCACACACTGGCTGATGGATCACATAAGAAAGGGACTTCCCTTTCCTCTGTACATGGGCTAAAAGATGGTTCCATTTCTTAGGAGAGGGGCTTTTATTGGCGATTGATTTTTATTTTTATTTGAGGAATTTTGTTGTTCTGTTACAGTTTTTATTACAAATCTTAATCTTGAATAGCTCTTTTTAAAATTCAGCTGTGGAAATTTTAGGTTGACATCTGTAGTGTTTATAGTTAAAATTATATAGACTTCCACAGATGTTTTTCTAGTTCCTAAATAGATAATGTGCTTTTCATTTCAACAATTAGAATTATAAGACTGAAATACCAGCTCAAAGATTAACTTTCTGAGTTCCTTTGAATAGGTTGCTTAGTTTGTTTTCCAGAGAGGAATGAATATTAAATTTTCAAGTTTCTTTGCATTTCCAAGTGCAAGAAGGATTTCAGTGCCAGAGACAAAAATATGCCATTCACACTGGGATGGTTCTTAACCTCTCAAGTTCCTTAGAATGTGAAGTAAATGTAGTCCATGAATGGGCTCTTGTATGGCTTCAGAAATGAATGTTCACTGAGCCATCCTGCTGTTCTCATTAGCACAAATATCACTCCTTTCAGAACTGTGTAGCCTCCCAAAGTGAAAGGTCATGGAAAACACTGAAAAATAAAGACATTAACATACTCCATTAAAATATGTGACTTTTAAGAAGTTGAGATGTACAGGAAAATTTATTTAAATATTTAAATGTTCACTGTGATGTTATACTAGAGCATGGCCGTGTCATGTCAGCTTTTTCTAGCAAAACTGATATGTGTTTAGGCATGCCTTTTTCTTAATAAACTGAGCCTTTTGGCACCAAAAGGGTTCATCTGGCATGGGAGACTAAGACTAAGTGAAGTGCTCTTCAACTTTTTCATTGGCACCAGGGGAAAGAGCAGGGTGACTGTGTCCCTGAATGATGTGGTAAATGCCTGAAGCCACTGGGGAGGAGCTGGGCTGAGGAAGATGCCAGAGACTAGAAACCATGCCAATTCCTAACACAGCTGTCTCAGGCTTTAGCTCCAGTTGCAGTGTTAGTCACTAGTCTATCTGCTGCTATTTCTTAGCAGTTAATATTGAAAATAAAGCAGGGATACAGAACTAGCAACTTCTGGAAAATATTCAGAGTCTGTCAGTTCTTTGGACACAGTCACGTGCAGCTTGGTAGAAGGAGAACAAAACAAGTAGTTTGGGTTAGCTGTACTGACTAAATATATAAGATTTTTTTAGCTGTAAGCTAGGCAGGGTCTTCATCATCGAGGTCAGGGTGTCAGAAACTCTTCTTTATAGCCTTTAAAAAATATTTACTGATCCTGGAGTACACAGCCTTTGTTTCAGAATGTCAGATCCAGTTTTTCAAATTAATCTAACAAAATGTTATTATTGTTCATGCCTTGAGAGGCTACCTGGAACAGAGGCTAGAGAGTGTTAAAGGAATAAAGTAGGTATTTATTAAAAGGGCTTCAAAGGATACACCTTAGGCAGTACAAGAGCCTGGCCATGACTCTACCCAAGATGGATGTCAGTTCACACATTTTCACCCTTTTGTAAGTTGGAGTCCATTTACATATTTGGGTTAATTGTTCATTTATAACTTCAGGTTGTGAAGTCCTATCCTCCCACATTGCTCTCCTCAATTCACTGTTCTTTGTACTTTTTGGGCCTGAAGCTGCAGCGATGTTCTTGGGCTGAAAAAAGGTAGTTTTATCTAAGTACACTCTGAGGAGAACTTGCTTACACTTCATATGAAGTTCAGAGTTACATACTAACGCAGTACAAAATCTGGATAATATGGAAGCTAAAACTTAAGGCATCAACATGGTGGAAGCTCACTGTGCTAGGCAGTATGTGTTTAGGAATGAGTCCAAGGTTTTCTCTTAAGCCTTTTTCTCCCTGCTGTTCATTTCCCTAATAGTTGTCTTAAAACATGTGAAAATAGCAATACTTATCAAGCTTGGGTAATGCTTGAAAACTCCTGTGAGTACAAGTTCAGTTGGCATTCATGTGGTTGGTTGAATGTGTTTTCATGTTTGATTCAGCAAGGGCTGAGAGACTAAATGACATTTGAAGTATTGCCAAGTTTGGCACTTTAAAATGATAGATTAACGTGTGTGTATTCACCCTTGTGCTCACTTGATGGAGAATGGATGGGCAAAGACTGAATACTGCTCAGTTATTGACCTGTCCTTCAGTGGGATATTGTACATGTTTGTAGGTGTCCTTTACAGATGAAACTGTCACTGCTCTTAATTCAGCTCTCTTTCACCACACCTCAGCTGGGGTTTTACTGCTTTTTCATCACAGGCACGCAAATAATAAGTATTGTTAGGGGTGGCAATTAGTACAGGACAGATAGCAACAGGAAAAGTGACAGTGGCATACCTCAGCTCTCACTGGCAAATTTTTGGGTGTGGTGAACACTGACCCTTGTGCCAGGCTAGCTTCTGGCAGCCAGGCTATGGATACGTGCTTTATCCAAGCACCGTGTCTGAGGCCCGGCTGAGCACAACTCCTGTATTACCACACAGCTTCTAAGACTGCTTTTCCATGTTCAAAAAGGAAAGGTTGGGACCAGTTATTTTCTCCTGAAAATCTCCTTGTTCTTTTGTCCATTCTGTTTATAAGCTGATAACAAATGTGATCTTTTTTATCATATTCTTTCAGATGCAGTATTCACAAACGGACAGGGAGTTGACTATTTATTTGTTGGAAACATAGTTTACACTGTAAGTTTGTGTATCCTAGCAATTTTTGAATGGTAGAATTTCTTTCCAGCCTTTTTTTCACCACGAGAAAATGGTGTAAACCTGAAAAAAGTGTGTGAGGAAAATAAAATCAAGCTGATGGTGTGTGTGTGATTTTCCCTCTTCCTTTTAAAATATTTTTCCCAGATGTGCACCAACAATAGCTTCTGCTCTGTCCTTCCCCCATCCCCTGCCAAGTTCCTGGGTTGCTGCCTAAATGGTAGTAGCTTTTTAGGTGTAAAGGGGAGATTGGGCCATGAAAAGCTTGGAATTTGAGAGTGGTAGTAATGAAGTTGTCTTCTTTCTTTTTTTTCCTTGTAGTATGTTGTAGTCACTGTTTGTCTGAAAGCCGGCTTGGAAACAACTGCATGGACTAGGGTAAGTACTTTCTGGTATCTTTTATTTTATTAGCACAGACCTTCCTCCCTAATGAGCATTAATACAGATAAGAAGTACTAAAAATCATTTGGGACTTCAGAGTTTTAATTGGGTCTTTCATGTAAGGACAGACTGCTAAGCTCCCTAAGTACAGCATATGAGAGGAATGAACTCATAGATCACATGGTATCTCTGATGAAAAAAGGACAGCCTGAATTGGGAAGAGTACACTAAAAGTGTACTGTCAAAATCTCTACTTAAAAATGAGGAAAATTTTGCATGAAATCAACATACCACTGTAATTGCTTAAGAAAAACGCATCAAGAAAATTATACTTTGTACTCTGTAGCTCCTTCAAAATTAATTCAATAGGGAATGAAAGGTGTCTGCCTACAGATAAATAACTGGGCTTTGAAAACATCTTTAAACTGAGTAAAAAGAACCAGTGATGACTTCACATTGGTTGAGTTGTTTTGGTTTGGTTTTTTGGTGTAATAAGAATGTTAGTTAAATAGTTACATTGGTACCTTGCTTTGAGTTATTTACTTGAAATGGGCAAGTGCTTTGTGACTGGTAGGTGACAGAATCCAGCAGGGCAGTGAGCTCCAAAGAGGGTGAGGGACAAGGAAGGAAGGGCTCCTGTGTTGATGAACCTTCAACACCTTTCTCCCCTCCTTTTCTCTAGCCCCTCTGAAACACTATTTTTTTAAATTATAATGGAGTCCCTTTTTCTCCACCCTGGTAAGATACTTTATGGGAATCCAGTTTTCATGACGTACAAAAAAACTCTGTCCTCAAGACGAAGATGTTTTGAGGACACATTCTTATTCTACCAGTTACTTGGAGGGTTTGGCTTAGATCTTGTTAACTTCATTGCTTCTGTTAGTTGTAAAATGTTTTATTTCATTCCTCCCAGAGGAATTATGAAGATCAATGAGCTAACATCTGTTCTGAATTTTAAAGATGATATGATATCTGTATGGGTTATTTAATTGTTAAGGAGATGTTAATATTTTCTACCCCATTCTCTCATCTGAAAATAAAATCTGTGTGTTTTTTACTGTTGCTTATGCATCAGTTCTGTGTTGTGTATCAACATTTTAAAATGCAAAAATCCTTAAATTAATCCCTTGTGCACCAGAAAGGCATATAACCAAGTCCTCATGGAAGGCATGTGAGCTTGTTTAGATCCTGTTTTGTTGTGAATTGTTTGATGGTTTCTCTTCTCTTCCCTGGATAGGTAATGGGTGTCTTTTCAGTTACTTGGGGATAATCATGATCCCCTCATTTCTAAACTTTGTTTTAAAAGATACCATAACTTTTAGTAAATATTGGAGTTCTATATGTTCTATATATATATATATATGTTCTATAACACTGGCATTTTACAGAGAAATTATTGTTATTCACACAACAGTTGTGTTTAGAACTAACCTTTTTCTACATATAATTCTAAATTCTGTCCCATTGCTTGGAACAGTGACTCATCATATCAAAATATGATGTTGGTTACAGTTTCAGCTGCGAGTGAATCAACACACAAAGAATCTTCAGGTTACTTGAAGAGTGTTAAATTTATGACACTGAGTTAAACCTCTTCTCCATCATCAAGTGGATTGATTACAGCCAATTTGTTCTAGAGAGTGAGAGGGAAACTGCCAATTGGGAGAACACAGTGGTTTCAGCAGAAAGCTTGAAATAAATAATGCAGTTGAAGTGTTTGGGAGCCTGGTATATCCAGTAGGTAATATGGAAAGAAAGGCTGTGATCAAAGTGGTAACATAATGCACAATAAAATCCACACATTGATGTTGAGTGGGGTAGCTTTGTGTTACGTGTGGCCTATCTGGAACACTGCAGTAGGCTTTTTCCCAAACACACACAGCTTTTTTCATCAGTGCTTTACCACACTATAGGAACTGTTTCAGTTAAGCAGGGCACATGGGAGAGCCACACACTCTGTCTGGTTTTCATGCAGGAACCTTGATTTCTTGTTTTCTGTCATTCATTTAACACATCTGATGGGTTCACTTCTAGTTTTGCACGTGAAGTCTCCAGGGGTAAATGCAGATGTCAGTGGAGAATCAACAGTGCAAAGGTTGGTGGGGTGGCTGTGTAAGGAACATTTTCAAGCAGGGCAAGGAGGGCTCTTACAGAACACAGAAGCTCTCTTAAAAGCAGAGAAGCAGTTTGGGCAGATACAAGCCTCAGATAATGAGATGGTTGGGATAACCATAAGAAGGTAACGACAATATAAAGTGAACAAAGTCTGCTCAGATGGAAAGGGTGAAGATCTGCAAAACTTGAAAACTGACCTAGCAGCAGAATGGAAAGAAAAACCTGAGTGCGACAAAAAAAACCCTGATGTCATTTCACTAGCATAAATATACTTCCTACAAGATAAGGCTACATCTGAGATTGGGCTCTCTGCTTGCTTTTGTTTTTACTGGTTTTAGTCATAAAGTCCAGGAGCTAGGGAAGCACCAGTCCAAGCTATCCTGAGCCTTTTGTCCACTTGTCTGAGAGGAAGGTTGTGGCTCAAGAGAAGGTATCACGTCATTTTCAGAAAGCAGTGATGGTACTGTTCTGCCATTGCATGGGGCTGACTTTTCTTTAAGATGAGTTCTTGCAGCAGCCTTGCAGTACTTGATCTTTGGGGAGCTGAGCACTACAGTTGCTCACTAGGGCAGGGCTTCTAGTCAGAATCTTGATGTGAATTGTGCCCAGTTTTCAAAAAAAGCAAGTAGCCTGAGAGGATAAAATCCCTCTTGTCCTCCAAGTGTTCTAAAAAAAATCCTTCAGTTTCTTGGTTTCCTTCACATTAAAACTGAAAGGAGCATGTATATGGGTATTTTGGAGGGTTTTTTGTTTGTTATGTGGGGGTTTGGGGCTGGCCTTTTTTAGTTGTTTTGTTTCTTGTTTGTTTGTTTTAAATAAGGAGTTTCTTATTTACTGAGGTCAGTTCTCCTGGGTGAAATATAATAAACAGGAAAGTTTGAAAACAAATCTTCCTGCCCACTGTGTCTCTCCAGGAAAGGACCTAAGCCATATTTTGCTTATTAGCCCAGCAAATTTTAGGGTTGAACAAAATTCCTTCTTTCTGAGACTGCCTAGAAGAGCATTCTTTCCATTGCCTCTGACATTTTGTCATATGAATGCTTCTACTGTAAGGTAGCCTCTCGTTGATCCCAGCGACCTGCCAGTGCTGCAGGCTCCTTGTTTGTTTGTTTTCACTGCCTGTGCTGGAGAAAGCTGTCCTTTCTGAGGATGTCCAGCAGTTGCAGATTAGGAGCAATCTTCTTCTTCCAGAAAGTTGTATTTATCTCACAGCAAGCAGAACACAATACTCAGACACTTTTTTGGTTCTCAGACATAATGTTCAAAAAGTCAACAGACACAGTCATCCAGTAGGAAGTATAAAGCCAAAAGCTGAAAAAACATGCTGTGTCCACCAGCACCCAGTATGTGAATTCATTCCCATGTTCCTGAACTCATATGTAATTAGTAATTAAGATTTATGCAGGTACTTCTCTGAATTGGAGCCAAAGTCATCAGCCACAGGAGTTGTTGGCATCCAGAAAAGCTGGAGCCAATAATGAGCTCAGTTGCTCGTTACAACTGAAATTACTGGTTCCATCCACTGCAGTGTAAAAGTAAAACAACTTAAATCATCCTGAACAGAAAAACAGTTTGGGTGTGTAGGAAAAATTACTTTCTTTAATGCAACTGAGAAGAAGTTTTTGCTGGATGTGCTCTTGGTCATTTAACAGTACTTTAATTTTTTCTTAGTGAGTCTACAGACTAAAGAAGCAGTAAAGATGTAAACTGCATTGCATATCTGTAAGTCAATTAGAACACCTTTAAAACAAAAACAAAAAAATCAAAGTTGATCAGTAGATGTTGATTCTGCTAGTGTATTACACAGCACTGAATCTTCCTCCAGGGAAGGTGAGTGATCACTTGTATGTATATATTGCCATAAAAGATTTGTCCATGTGAACTTTAACCTGTGCCTTTGAAAATTTCTGCCTTGATTTATGAGTTGAATCTGGCATGTGCATGACAGGATACAGGAACTAGATGAGAGAAATCATGGTTCCAAGGAAAATCTGACGAGTTTTCGGAGCTCCAAATAAGATAGATTGACTGAGAAGAGTATCTGTCTGCCCTGCTATGAGGCAAAGATTAAAGAGAAGTGCTTTATGCTGTTTGAAGAACCTGTGCTACTGGCCCAAAACCAAGAGCAGTAGACAGGGCTGAGTGAGACCGACAGAGACCTGAACAGGGAAACACTTCTGGGCTGGGTGAATGGAGGAAGTGCCGTGTGTTGACTCTGCTTCTCTCCCTGTTCCTTGGCAGTTCAGTCACCTGGCGGTCTGGGGAAGCATGCTGCTCTGGCTGGTGTTCTTCGGGGTGTACTCGGCCATCTGGCCCACGTTCCCCATCGCGCCGGACATGCTGGGGCAGGTCAGTACCAATGCCTGGCTCTGGGGACAGCAGCCCAGCCAGTGCTGCTGCCTCCCACTTCCTCAGCACTCACACAGTGCCAGCAAAGGACTGCTGCTCTAGTGAGAGTGCTTGGACTTCATTTTAACCTTTTCTTAATCCCTGTATTCATTCGGCTTAATCTCCTCGTGAGAAGAGCTCTCTTTCTCCCCCAAACTGACATCATCCATGACTGCATGCACTGTGGATACTAACATATAGACCATTCCCAATTCCCTGTGATGGTAGTGGCTCTTTTGTTAGTGTCTAGTCCTGGCAAGCTTTTGTGTGTTTGACAAAATATCGTATTTGGTTTGGGATTTTTTGTCATGGATTTCCATATGTTTTGTTTCATATTGTTGCTTTTTACCTTCATTCATTTAAATAAACAGAATTTCCTTGAGAATAGAATGAGATGGTCAGAAATAGGAGAGCTGATACATTATTGATTATGACACTGGAAGAATTCTGGATTTGTTCCTTCCATGTCAGCTGAGCTCCAGGTGGTAAAATTTTTCCTTCAGTGTCTTCGTTTCAGCCCCTGGTGAGAAGATCAAATCTCAATCCTGTCAAAATCAAGAGCCTTGTGCATATTTAAAATAGGGGGATTGCAATTAACAATTTTAACAGTTAAGAATTTAATAATTGCATGATAAAAAGTTATTTTGTAGAGGTGAAATGGCTTTCAAATTTTCCAGAAAAATGTATTGCATTGTAAATTTAGACTTCAATGCAAAGATGTGGTTTATTATACAGAAAGAAGAAAAGCTATCTAATAATTTCAAGAAATTATATGCTTAAATTACTACCCTTGTGTACTAGAAAATGATAATAAAAAAGTCAAGTGTTGGCAATCCAATTAGATTTTTAAGATTAATCCCATGTTTATATTCAACAAGAACAGTCAAGCGTGATTTTGTTGCTGTTCTGGCCTAATGCATATTTTATTATTGTGTTCTAAAACACTGAGGATAATGGAGGCTATGATACATTTTCATGGACAGCTGTTTACAGCCAAGACTGACAGCTGACAGGCTGGGATGAGCAAGTAAGTGACTGACAGACAAAGCCTCAGTCCTCTGATAGTATTTCATGATGACCTTTGTGTGTTTCACAGAACATACAGTGTCAGTAGCTCTAATTCACATTTGCATGTATCGGGCAGGAATTTTACTTCAGTATCGTGCAGAGGCGAGAATGGCTTGTCCTCCACAGCAGACTTGAGTGCTGCCATGAACATGTCAGCCTTCTGAAATGTGGGCAATATGGTGAAATGTTGTGTCACACATAAGGGGCCCATCTATGGGCTTTAGCTTGCTTTTCTTTTTTTCCAAAAAAAAACTCTTACTTTGCAACTTAAGCAAAATTCATGTTGCGCTGGTCATCAATGTTTGCTGCAGCATATAAAACCACAGGTCTTGGAACAAAACCTTCATATTAATAAGGCTTTGGGGTTTTTTGAGTATGTTTTTAGAAAGTGTTTGTATTTAACCTTTGGTTTTATGCTCTGGTTTTCTGACATTATGACTTGAGAAGTGGTACTAATATCTTGCCAAGATGAAAATAATCTATTCTCCTATTGTTTTGTTTTATTTTGTTAATAGAGAACACATTTACCTTGACTGGTAGAGTGTCCAGTCCTGTACTTGTGGAGCTGTGTACCTGGATCACTGATTATCAGTCTAAATCATTAAGGATAGGTTATCATTCAAGAGATGATTTTGAATTCTAGCAGTCAGAAATAAGCTGTTTTATGGCTTTCAGTGTGTGCTAGAGGGGATCAATATCATTCTACCAGTTTTCTTGTATTTTTGAGAGAAGGAGTAGCAGTTCAAAAATGTGGGGTTTTTTTCTTTTTTTTCTCTCTTTTATCCTTTTGTAAAATCAAAGAAAGCTCCCAAGGTAAAGGGAGCTTGTTTACCACTTGCATTAACTCCCACAAAGTCTCTTGAGTAATGGGTTGCTGTCATGAAACCAGCTCATGGTTAAATGAGCTGGGACTGTGTTAGGCTCTAGTCAGAAAAATAGTCGCCTTCTAAAATGAGTTGCTGCTTCCTAGACTTAAGCAATTTCTTTACTCTTGCTGTAATCTTTTGTTCATTTATAAGTAATCAAGGTGTCTTAAAAGCTTTGTTCTGGTTTCAGATCTTGCTAGCGTGTTTATCTTCAAGTAAACTGAACTCCAGGATATTCTAGATCCTTGTACTTTGCAAATCTAATAGCATTTGAAGGGAACTGATTTTAGCTGGAATAGTCATTAGCATTTATGCCAGCCAGGACTTTGTGCCAGGAGGTGCAAAGCATTTTATTCCATTGTTTCACCAAATGTCAGCATGAAGCCTAGCAGACTCGCAAGTTTGTGGTGCTTTGTTTCTGCTGGGGTTTGTTAAACTGTTTGCACTAAGTATTTCTTTCTCTTGCCCATAATATCTTGAGCATTCTCAGAGTAAAATAATACCATTTTTCCTCCCCGAGGGCAAAGGAAAGTGACTTTCTTATTCTCTCTTGTCAGAGTCAACATATTTCTTCTGTTTCCACTACAATATTAATAATGGAATATGTGTGACATATTAAGACAAAGCCGTGATTAAAATCTCAGTAGTCCTTAATATAAATTTTCCAATAGTATGACATGTGGTACTTTGGAAACAAGCTCTGTCTGCTTTGGGGGAATCTTTTCAGATGCACAATTTCTCTTTAGTATCAAAAATAATAATGTCAGAACAAGAAACTCTCTGGTAGCTCTCTTGGCTTTCCTGAATTTTTGTATTTTTTCAAGTGATTTTTTTTTTTATATTTACAGAGAACAGTGATACTGAGGAAAGTTGGTGCCCTTTTTTTTTGTCTTGCTTTTGGAGCCAAGATGTTTTAATGGGAACTGATTGCTTTTGAATGGTTGCTTCCAGATGACAGTTTTTTGTACAATATATGAATCCTTTCCCACCTTTTGGGTAGTTATGACTTACCACCACAGATTTTTGAAAGCAAGTAGATGTTTGTGGTTTTAAAAAGAGCTACCTAGTTTGATACTCATTAACTGGAAGAAGTAGTACAGAAATGTGCCACTCTGAGGATGTGAGTTCCTATTTAATTATCATGTCCCTGAACTTATGGGGCTCATAACCCGATGGTATTTTGTTGATGAGCAGATTAGCCACAGTCCTGCCCTCATGCAGTCATGGGTATTTTGTTTGTTTGCCTGGGGATAGAGATTTGGTGCCCTGAAGGGAACAGTGAGTGCTAACATTTGTGCTTATTTCTTATATGACTCATACCTATGGTGTAAGAAATGTGCTGCTAATGCTCTGTTCTTGTATTGATTTCTTCATTGCAGTTGAAGCATACTTTAGGTTCATGGGAATAATATTGCACTGTATAGAATTAAAGTCTGTGTGCAGGTATTCCTACTCCCACACATGTGTAAATACCTTTACCTGAAGGCATGTGCATGTGTACAAGAGGATGTTTGGAAAGTGATCATGCTTTGAGTGTTGATCTAGACATTATCTAAGATGAAGAAAAACAGGTATTTTTTTTGCTACCTTGAGCTGAAATTTTTAGTGTTTTAAGGAAGAGCAGGGTTGGCAGGAAGAGGAGTATGTATCCATTCCTATCACCCCTCTGAAGAATCTGCTTGTTGATGATGAAAGAACTATTACTTAGCTGTGATTTCTTTCTTCCAGTTTATTTACCTTGTGTTGTGTTTTGTGTCTGCCTCATTAGTTGATGCTACCATTGAGGAAATATCTTTAGGAAGATGAGTATCAGTTTCATTGTTTCTGCCTGAAGGAGAGGGGTTTTAATCTAGCTTTGAGAGAGATGTGTGCTGTGGTTATTTTAAAGTGTAGGTTGGTGTTTCTAATTTTTTAGACTTCTGCTTTGTGCTGTATGTGGTTATGTTGCAGAACTGGGGTTTAACAATTGTCTTGATCTTAGGATGTCATTAGAAGGCCCATCTCATCAAAACCTCAAAGCTGGAGGTTTTGAAACTGCGGCTTCTGCACTTCCCAGATACCTTTTTACAGCTGCATTTGAGAGAAGACTTCTTGAATCACAGTCCAAATAATTTTACAACCAGCATAGTTGAAGCAGCTCCATGTAAGAGCCGCTTTCATAGCTGTAATTGCAGGCGTGCTTTTATTTCCTAGTGTTCTGCACATCCTTGACAGAAGATACTTATTTATTTTCCAGTTAAACTGTCAGATTCTTGCTTATTTGTCTGCTTGTGAAGACTTTTAAAGAAGCTGTGCATGAGCTATACCTGGATTAAAGGTGCTTTTTAAAAGATCCCAATTATTAAGATCTCTGGTTGATCCCCTGTAATGTGACAGTAGTAGGACTTGCTTGTTTTAATGGTTTGTTAAAAAGACATCTATGCCTCTTTTAGCAAAGCTTCCTATTTGTCTGTGTGTATGGAATTGCAAGATGGGCTTGCCTTGACTATTGCACTGCTTTTGAGGGAGGGGGGTGATGTAGATAAAAGGGTGTGGTGGACTTGGGTTGTACAGTTGGTTTTGTAGCTAGCCTTCAATCTGAAACTCTCTTAAATCTTGCTGATTGAGCTCTTACCAAAGCATGTGAGAAAACATCTTGATTTTCAAGACTTGGAAACAATACAAAACAACCCCCAAAAATCCTGAAGGCAAAATAATAATCATTGTGGTGTAATAAACAGGTTTCACATTACTGCCCTTCCAAATCCACACTGTAAAGCTGACAGCTTAATGTACATTTTTGTGTTTTCCAGAATATTTTTGTCTTACTCTCTATATCTGAATTGTTTTCCACAGGTCTCTGTTGTTGTTCTCTCTGACTTCTCATATTTCTGCAGTTTGGTGCTAGTTAAAAAATTGGCTGTTCTGATTGTGGTTTGTTTGTCTGCAATCAGTTGCACATTACATTGTGGTGTAAGTGTTTTGGTTGGTGAAAATGCTTCATCCAGCTGTTATGCACAAATCAGACTTTGCCTGCAGATTGAGGTC